GCTGTCCTGCCCACCATGGCTCTGGCCCTTTAAGAAAAAAAAAAAAATTTGGAGAAAAGCCTCAGAACTCACTGCTCCTGCAGCTTTGGGGCTTCAGGGGGCTCTTCATGTGGTGGGGAGCAGCAGGGATCACCCCCTCCCAGCAGAAGTGGTGAATACAGGGGTTTTCTTGGGATTTTTTTTTTTTTTCTTAAAGAGCTGGAGCTGCAGCAGGCAGGGTAGCCATGGGGTGGGCTGGAACAATGCGGGGTGGGGTTGAAGGGCTCATGCAGAGCCTCCCCCATGCAGCATGGGGCAGTGGGGAGCAACAGGGATCACCCCACACCTGGCAGCACCCACTGAGTTGGGGCTTTTTTTCAAGTGACAGGAGCTGGGGCAGGCATGGCAGCCATTGCTGGGTTAGGGGGGATGGGCCTGGCTGATTTGGAGATTCAGCAGCACCAGAATGTCCAAATCGATTTGGGACAGTGATTCGAATCACCCAATCAAATCACTGTCCCCCAAATCGGCCAAATCCGAATCCGAAGCAAATTCTAGCCTAGCACAGGCCTACAAGTCACGTTGTGCTTACTGGCCCCATCTACGTAGAACACTACTGTGCAGCAGCATCCAAAAAAACTGTGGATGCTACTGTGCAGTAACACTGGATACTGTGCAGTCACTTACTACTTAGTTATGCAAATACTAGACGACTGCACAGCAAGAACTGTGCAGTCCTCTGCTTGTGTAGACATGGCCACCTTGTCTTGTACTTCAAAGTCTGACCCGAACAGTGCCATCATGTAGAACAGAAACAGCTGGAAGATGCACCACTCCCCTCTTCTTCTAAGAGCACAGGGCTTTTCTACTGTTCATCTGGAAGTCTCTTATCCACCTCTTCTCAGGAGCTCTTTGGATTATAACTTGTACTGGTTAAACTCAGGGCTTGCCTACATTGATGCTCTCAGTAAAACTACTATGAATACACTTTTAAAAGTTGTTTAGTTAAGCTGCATTAAACTTTTATTCAGAATTAATGTGGCCGTATTGTGATTTCTTTCACCACTTTCAAATTAAGTAAGTTAAATTCAACTAGACCCACTTTAGTTCTGAATGAGACTGTATTAACAGGGATTCAGTGCAATTTAATTAATGCACTTTAAATTCACCCTTTTAGTTATTTTGGATTGAATTTCTGGAGCATCTTGGAGCAGATGAGCCCTCAAATTATTTTCAGTAAGATGGTGTAACTTTGCATATATGTCTGGCTTATATCAGTTTAGCAGGCAAAACTCATACAAACCAGGTTTTTGATATTCAAGCATCCACATGCAAAGTTAAACCAGTTTACACTGATCTGCATAAAACCAAACTTTTTTTCTAAAACTGGTACCACGTTGTGAGTAGTTCTGCTTTTTCAACTCATGCAGGTCTGTAACAGGGGGCCTTCTCAGGGCCAATTTGACTTTGGCCTGCCCATCTGTTTCTTGGCCAACTGCCCACCTTCTTTCCCACCATGCCCTGATGTTAATTAATTAATTGTTGTTAACTAAGTGGGAGGCTGCCCAGTTCCTTGCCCTGATGCCACGGGGCACTATCTGCGGCTCCGTACCTCTGCTACACCGCAGCCCATGCTTCGCAGATGGCATCCAGCTGTTACTCTCACTGGCACCACACTGGGCCCTAGAATCCTGTCAGGACCACTCTAAGATCCCTCGAATCAGGCAGCCTACCCCACCTTCATTCAGGCTACCTAGCTCCCTCAAACTATTTTCCCCTCTCGGTTGTGGTCCCCTGGGACCTTTGGCCATATAGGCCCTGGCCTCACCTCCAAGGCCAGTCAGAAACCCCAGGCCCTTCTAGCTCTGGGTGCCCCTCACAGTGGGCCCCTGGCCCTTTTGACTGTCCTAGTCCTGGCCCCAGCATTGACCAGTCAAGGGGACTCTCTTGATCAGGACTGAGTCTCTAGCCCCACTCTATCTCTGGGGTCTGCCTTCTGGCCCTACTAGCGGGTGACCCACCCAGTTGTGGGGGTTAGGGGTTAAGGTGCCCTGACCCGCCTTTCACCGGGGTGTTAACTGGCCTGGCATTTCCTGAATCTAAAATGGCTGCCTTAATGAGACACCTGCTGGCTGCTTGGCTTTGCTCCTTAAAGTGGCAGGCACATCAGTGCCCTGCCACAAGGTCCCACAGTTCCTTCCCTCCAGGGGGCCAGACACATACACATGTACAATAGCTACTATGCAAAATGTTTCTCTTGAGGTGTGTCATTCTTCTGAAAGGCAGGAAAGTTCACTGGGTGTTGTAGAATACTCTAGGGGAGAACATCACGGCCTGCCACTCCCCCTAGCTGCTTTATTTCTTTCCTTTGGACCCAGTGATTGACCCAGAGGGGGGTGCAGTGTCATGGTCACACCCCTCTTTCCACAGTATAGTTCAGCAGCATTGGTTGCCTATAGCTCTAGATGCCTGGGTCCTCTCCAGTGTGTGAAAAACAGCAAATGCCATAGGAGTCCAGACCATGCCACAGGAGCAGCAGTTGGGGACTTTAAGTCCCTGAAGCAGGTAAGCATCCCCTCAGTCCCTCCACTTGGCACCCCTTCCCTTCCAGTCCATGATTAGCAGCATCTTCTCCTCTTGTTCCCCTCCTCCCCCTCTCTCCTTATGCCTCTGGGTGCAGGATGGAGAGTCCTGCCCGCCACTGCCCTGAACTGACCTGGAGGCAAGGGGAGCCCTAGAGCCACTCCTGCCCCACTCTAGCCAGGGCTGCAGGAAGCTGTTGCGCAGGGAGCCAAGTTCAGCCAGGGGCACCAGAAATGGTGGGTATGTTCCCCTTCCTGGCCCTATCCTTCCATGTGTTCCCCCCCAAGCCAGGGAACAGGCACAGGGAAGGGGTACCTGCCTGCTGCTGCTACTGTCCCAAGTCAGATAAAGAGGCAAGAGACAGGTCTATAACCCAACTTTTTGTTGATTACACCCCAAAGCAGAAGACTGAGCGCTCATCCCTATGCCTATCTAGCTACCTGCAACAGCACAATCCAGATTCTCACCTGTATGTGGCAGATGTAGGAGGGAGGAGAAAAGTGACTGCAGGCCATAAGCCAGTTGTATTACATTTGCTGAAATCTTCCCAAAATTTCCCATGTTCACACCCAATATTTATACACAACTTATTTAAATAAATATTCAGATTGGTATTGTTCAAATTTCTGTTTCACTGAGACTCTGGGAACTGGACTGAACCGGTTTTTTCCATGGACTTCGAAGATGCCAATTAGCTGGGGTCTAGGTCCTTGTGAAATGTACAGTTCTGGGAGAGAGGACTTCTTACCTCTCTCTCACCATCTGGATATGCTACTTGCCATGTTCTGTTTATTTTACTTTGCTGATTAGGTCAGTTTGAAGGTCTGCAAAGGTTTACTCTGGAACAGGCTCTGGGGCCTGCTTTAACCACACTTTTACTGCTTATCTTAAGTGCCTTGCAGGCGGTCAAGGCTGACAACAGGTTAACATAGTCACATGATTATTTCAAGAGAATTCTAGCTGATTGTATACAACTTAGTTCTTATAACATGTTATTATTTTTAGCTGCTGTTAAGCACCTTCTACAAAGCAGTTATTCATCTAATTTTAATGGCTTTAATAAACAGATTCTCATTCTACTTTCCAGGCTACTGCTTGTGACTTGAATACAAGTTTATTGATTATTGATTGTACACAGCTTAAGCACACAATATTCATTACTCGGGCTTGTCCTGGGTCCCTAGTCTGCACCTGTCACCATGGTTTGTCAGGCACTGTCCATGTCAACAGCCTACAGTTGTAGGCAGATCTTTGGATTCATCTGTATCAATATTAGGCTATTCCAGAGCAACCATAATTGCTGGGATCTATCAGAGGGCCGGCCAGAAGCCTCATCCTTCAAAAGAAAGTTCAGAATCAGAGCTCAGTGGCTGACAATCACATTCACTTTTTATTATCTATGGTCATCTCCACAGGTGAAAGGGATGTGACTATGTAGCCATATCAGCTTGCAGGGACTCCTCAGCAAAGCCTGTCTCCAGGGACATTTTGTATTAGTTTCCAGTAATGTTATATCATTAGGAATATGCAGGGCAGCACCTAGGGCCTATATTAGTTGTTCCCTTCCCTGCTGTTTCAGTGAGATTTGCAGGAGGTGCCTCCTAGTACATACCAGCAAGCCATTCCCTGGATGCCAGTCAGTCTGAGGGTGACTAAGAGCAGCTGTCCTGTCAATGGGGGGGCCTGGACATTTGAGTGTGAGGCCACATGTCACCAAGAAAGGGCAAACTCCACAATCATTTTCGCTCTAATCTGGGATAATTCCCCTTTAGTAATATGATCATACTTGTCTATTGTGGCATCAGGAACCTGGGTAAACCTAGGTGGCAATATCTTTTTTTAATCAAGTTTCATATTTGGTATCAGAAGCCCTCTATTTAGCCAGGCTGATAAGCAAACAGAAGATAAAAATCCACAAAATATCTCAATTAGTTCAGCTTTTGCAGACTCTCACTTGATCAGGCTTAATAGCATTTAGGCACTTGGTATATATGTTCTTGTGCCAAGAAGTCCTGTCTCCTCAATATAAACATATAAACTAGAAAAGTGACTTGATCTCTCACCATTCATTCCTCAGTTCATTTGTGTGTCGTTTCTTTTTCAACTTCAATACCTGTGTGGAAATAATTGGGAATTCTGCAGGTGATGAGAAGGGCATTAGAAAATAAATGATCTGTTAGGACCAAAACTTGACCCCCTTTGAAACTGTCACAGTCTAACAGGACATAATCCATCATATTATATATGTGTGGAGTGGGGCTGTACTTTCAAATAGACAAGAAACTATTTAACAGTGAGGTGAATCAATCATTGGAAGAGGGCCATGGGAAGTTGTTAATACTCCTTCATTAAAAGCCGTTCAGTGGCCATGGGTGTCTTTTAAAAAAAACATGGTTTAGTTCAGCCATAAGTTATGAATTCTGTGCTGGAACCATGGGCAAAATCCTGGGTGTGTAATGCAGGAGGTCAGATGAGATAAGTCCACCCCCCAATGCTTTTTACATTATGGTCCCCAGAACACTAATCAAAGGTGAATGGAAAGCTGGATCCTCCTCATTTTGAGCTACTGAATTACATGAAAAGAAATTAAGAATAGAACAAATATTGTTCTGAAGTTACCTTTCCACACAAGCAATAGCTGTATAATCACTACCAGAATACTAAGCAGTATTATGAAGTTGTGAGTGGGGTCTGTGCTCCCAGAACTGCACTGATCTCACCAATGACAGTAACACATAAAGGGCCTTTAAGGGTCTCAATGTATCTGGGCCTAGATCCCTTAGAGATCACCCCCCAACCATGATTCAAAAAGATTTCTAGACAACACAGCTATCACTGCCCACAGGGTAGCTCAATAACTCTTCCTGAAATAATTATTTTCAGAAATTTCATTTAGCAAGGATTTTCAGCTGTTCATTTTGATTTGACACAAAATACAGTATTCAAATACTGTGGAATGCCAATGCCAATTTTCAACAAGGTTTATCCAGGAACTTGGCAGGAACAAGGCTGTGACTCTAAGTCACAGTTTGATTCCTGCTTCCTTCTTGCTCCCAGGTGGGAGAAGATGAGACCAAATCTTTCAGCGGCAAAAATTACTTCCAACTACTCAAACTCTGATACACTAGGCTGGTCCTGGAGCCAAGATGTCACCCCACTGTTCACCTATCAACTGCAGAGAAACAATAGCAATATGGTAGTATGACCTCTTCATCCCCATCATAGACTCCAGCAGCGCTAATAGTGTGTGCAGGGACACATAGAGGGACTTGTTTCTTTATGTGTGGGCATGTGGCAGGACTAACAATGGAGTCCTGAACAATTAGAGGGATATTACAGCAAGAAACACAATACTTTATGTAGTGATAAAAGTTATAATTTATAAATGTCATAGATTACATAGACATTAGGGCTGGAAGGGACTTTGCAAGATCATTGGGTCAGGGGCAGAAAGTCGGCTGGGGTCAGATCACACCAGCGAGATAAGCATCCAAGTGTTTCTTAAAGGTATCCAGAGTAGGTGCTTGCACCACTTCTGGGGGGAATCTATTCCAGACTCTGGAGACTTGGACGGTAAATAAGTTTTTCCTTATGTCCAGTCTAAAATGGTCTTCCAGCAGTTTGTGACCATTAGACCTTGTCTTCCCTTGGGGTGCCCTGGTGAACAGATGTTCTCCCAGTTCCTGATGCACACCCCTTAGATAGTTTCACAGTAGCTAGGGTCAGGAGGGACCTGAACAGATCATCTATCCTGACCCCCTGCCATAGGCAGGAATGAGTGCTGGGTTCACAAGACCCCAGACAGGTGATCATCCAACCTCCTCTTGAATTTGCCCAAGGTAGGGGCGAGGACCACTTCCCTGGGAAGTGGGTTCCTGATTTTGGCCACCCAAACTGTCAAATATTGCCTTCTGATCTCTTACCTAAACCTATTCTCCATCAGCTTATTACCATTGTTCCTCGGCACCCCAGGTGGTGCTGGGGAGAAAAGGGCTCTACCTATTTGCTGTTGATCTCCCCTGATGAGTTTGTAGGCAGCCACCAGGTCCCCCCTCAGCCTCCTCTTGCTGAGGCTGAACAGGTTCAGGTCCCTCAGTATCTCCTTGTAGGGCCTGTCCTGTTGCCCTCTCACCAAATGGGTGGCCCTCCTCTGAACCCTCTCCAGGCTGGCCACATCCCTCTTGAAGTGTGGCGCCCAGTACTGGACGCAGTACTCCAACTGTGGCCTGATCAAAGTCACATAGAGGGGAAGGATCACCTCTCTGGACCGGCTTGAGATGCATCTTTGGATGCATGACAAGGAATGGCTGGCCTTGCTGGCTGCAGTCTGGTATATGCTTATAAGGCTGAATAAAAAGGGAGGGTGACTTCTTGGGTCTTGCTTGAAATGCATTGTTAGATGCAAGCCAGAGTTTTATTTGTTTTGCCAGCTGTGGCATTGCGTTGGTTGCTCATGTTCATCTTGTGGTCAGTCATGACCCCCAGTCTCTTTCAGTCATGGTGCCAGTGACTGTAGCACTGCTGAGCTTATAAGTATGATGTGGGGCTTTTCTCCCAAGGTGGAGCACCTTGCATTTCGCTGTGTTGAATGTCATCCAGTTTTTATCTGCCCAACTTGTGAGCCTGTCCAGGTCGGCCTGAATTGCCAGCCTATCCTCTAGAGTGACCGCACTTCCCCATAATTTAGTGTCATCCATGAACTTAGCCAGTCTGCTTCTGACACCCAAATCCAGATCATTTATGATTTAGAGGCACTCCCTAATTTCGAAGAGTTAGGAATTGGAAGACAGTCCCTTATGTGGGTGATAGCCTGGGCAGAGAGAGACATAAAGTCTGCAGAGGCTTGCCTATTGCTCCACAATAAGGGCTGTTGCTTTGTTTTTCTCATTCATGCCTGACTGTTTTTTTATTGAAACTGGTGATCACTACACTTCATACTTTTCAACCAAGGATTTCAAGATGCTTTAGAAACCTCATTGGGTCACACAGTGAAAGACATTGGAATAGAAAGTGCCACACCTACCCTCTTCCCCAAATTCCATATTTTCGAGTGCAACTACAGAAACACCTAATCAAGAGGGCACAGCTCCAGTTCCAAGGGTGAATTAAGCTTTGCTCTGGACTTGTGCTGAAGGTTAGTCCCAACTGACTCTGATGTAAATAGGTATTTGGCCAATCAAAGATGGCCAGACATGATACTAGCCATATCACTCCCTTGTGTACTGTTGGCTATAGAAGCTGTCATGCTTTAAGCATATTACCCTAATGGCCCACTAGACTTAGGAAGACCTTTAACCTGCCAGTATAACTATTAGACTACGCTCTTGATTCTTTTCAGATCATGCTCAAAATGCTCTGATTTATCTGCACCTTCTTCCCTCCCCCCCACTTTCCCATTTCAAACTATTTTCTTTTGAATATTTTGTAATGATTACCATTTTATCAGCTCTTCTCATTGGTAACAGCAGAATATCTTTAACAATCCTGCTTTAGTTAGGGGAGGCAGGGGGAGAAAGGAGATCTGAGTGGCAGCCTGGGGGGTGGGGGAGGTGGACAGTCTTGAAAAAATAAAGGAAATGTATCAACTTTGCCAACTGCTCCAAAGAGATCAGCGCAACAACAGAAGCAGCTAGAGAACAACTCAGACGGCATTCATCATGTGTACACGACAATGCAATCTCACAAACTTGCCTTTCAAACGGTTCTGTTTAAATGTTTAAAATGTGAGGCAGATAATACAGTTCTTAAAAAAAAAAAAAAACTCCCACTGTGATTTACTTAAGTGGAAACAGCTCTTTAAAGGAACATCCTGAAATTTGTTTTGACTTACCTCCTGAGCTGTCCAGAAATGTAAACCCTTGGTTTGAAATGTGGTATTCTGCTGTGCTTGTAGCTTCAAACAGCTTAAAAACTGGATTTCTATAAAGCTGCTAAACCAGTGGAAAACTTGCAGAAGAGAAATTTAATTTTCTCTGACTGAGGAAAGCCATGGGTGATCTGTTCAGGCCCAATATAGTTTCTCTCACATATGCAAAGTATTGATTGTTTTCACTGATTATAGTAGTAAAAAATGTCCATTATCAAACATGGACTTGTTTATTCATTAGATTGATTTTCCACCCCATCCAAAAGGCTCAGAGTGGCTTACAACAAACAGACAAACAACCCACAGACAGCATTCCCCAAATACCACCCCAAAACTTGACCCCTCTGATTCCTTACCTCCGTCCAACCACCACTCCCCTGCCTAAGCCCCCAAACAGGCAAGTTTGATTTATCCTACTTTATTCTGTATCTTCCTTTCTGGTTGATGTTAACCACACTTACCAGATTATGGGGTATCTATGCAGTATGTGCAGAGTGAAAATTGAAAAGAAAAGCTAATTTTTTACCTGCATCTGAGCAAATGAGATTAATTGGGCAGATGGGGGAAGTTAATCAACGTTAGTCTTTTCACGGTGGTATTTTGTTGTTCATTTTGGACTTCTGTCATCCCTCAAACTTGAAAGGAACTATCAGAAGCATGGGCAAAACATTTCCAGAAAGCTTTGACAGAACTATTTTTTTATGACAAAACCTTCAAGAAATACTATTCAGTAATTGGTACAATCCCTTCCCATCTGTAAAGCAGAGGTAACAACACTTTTTTTTTTCCTCTTGCCCTTGTCTGTCTTCTCCAATTTCACTCTGATCGCACAATGTGTCCTATCAGGTGGGAACCTGCATGTTCATGGAGCCAATTGTCCGTATTGGGATTACACATAGACACTAGATTCTGTCCATATGGAACAAGTAGGATAAGGGCCTCAGGATCTAGTTCAGCAAAGCTATTTAACAGGGGTTAAATTGGCAATTAAAACATTGATGGTGCAGTATTGAGCCCTGCCCCCAAAATGAGATCCACCCTTACAAATCACTAGCATGATATATGGCAGGAGTGCAAAGTACAGTCAGATTCCTGTTTGGATCCAGTAAGGGTCACTGTATTTGGCACCTTCTGAAGTCATGGCATCTTCTAAGCAGCAGCACAATTACAAAAAATGACAACAAAAGTAACACATCACCCAAGGTAAATTGCTTCCTTTTATAGGAGGTGGCCCAATGCAGGAAAGGAGTCAGGGCTTGCTGAGATGGGATCTTGCTGAGCAGGCACCATCAGTTGATCTCAAGACCTTCATATGTTTTGGGGAACTGTCTGACCTCGTCCTTCATGATCAATATGAGCAATGTCAGCTTTTATCTGAGGGGGAGTCATCACCATGGTCAGATTTGCTTCCAACAGGAAACCTCGCACTGCCTCTCCTTTCTTGCTTGAGTAAAGGTGGGGGAATGTGCTCAAGACACCTTCTCTTTAAGAGTTAGCACCATACAATTAGCCAGCTCAGCCCATGGGTATGGACCTCACCCCCTCAGAGGTAGCCAGAGGTGCCAGCAACGCTAGTCTTGTGCAGCTCGTGCTCAGATATTGGCAGTTGCAGCTGGTCCCCCTTTAGGTGAAGGAAGGCTTCCCATGCCTATCCTCACTCCTTGTTCACCCCTACAAGACCCAGGTAAAAATCTGATTCCACATTACTGAAAAGCTAGATGTTCCACTGCAAGGCAGCATAACACAGAGGATCACAGGCTAGATCGTGGCTCATGAGACCTGTGCTCAACTCAAGACTGTTTGCTACCATGCCATGCCCAAAGACAAGACTTGCCTTCTCATTTTTTCTCTGTAAGCCTTTAGGGGCAAACATCTCTTAGTATGTGAGTGCAGAGTGCTGCAATAGTGCTATTAAGTGCTACTATAGTAATAATAATACAGCTGTGGAAAAAGATTAATAACAAAATAGGGAAGTTTTTCAAAGCATGGAAGTGAATAGGAGCCTAAGTCTCATTTTCAAAGATGACTAGGGCACTTTGGAGCCTAGACCCTATTGACTTCAGTGTGACATTTGTATCTAAGAGCCTAACTTGCTTTTGAAAATCAGAAAATACTGATTCATTTAAACCCTCACATTTCCTGGGGAAAGTATCATATTTGACTAATTTTGTACCCAAAACATTTTGGGATTTTTTTTGAAATTTTCAAATAAAAAATATTCCAATTTCCTGGTTCAAAATGACTTTTCCCTTAGAAACTTAAGTTACTTCCAGTAGAGAAGATTTTTAAAATATTGGTGAAATTCAAAATGAAACATTTCAATTGAACCAAATGGAAACTTTTTTCGATTTTTATTTTGTGAAAAATTTCATGAGTTCAGTTTCTTGTCCTGGTTTTGGATGTGAAAAAAAACTTTAATATGTATAAATTTTTTAACAGAATGAAACAACTGTTCATGCCAGCTCTTCTCCTAAGTCACATGGACATTTTTGAAAATTGAATCCATTGCCTCACCTCTAGGAAGGAGAGTACTACGTTTTCCAGGCTCTGTCACCTATATTGTAGGTGGTGAAAAAACACCCGTAATGTTTTTAAAAAACACTGGTTTTAGCAAAACAAAAGATCTCATGGTCTTTAGTAGCACATCTTCCCTGGCCTGTCTATCTTGGGCTGTCTTTCCAAGAAGCCCTTCCCCAACCCTGATACATCGCTGACTCTAAACTAAAGATTAAAGCTGAAACTCTGCTAAAGCATTTAAAGTTTAAAACAATTCACTATACACTGGCCTGAGAATGAATAGACTCAATTATTCAGGCGTTCTTATGGGTCACATCTGCTCTTGTCTTGATAACAGTGCCTTTTGCTCGACATCGCCAGTCCCTGAGACCCTACATTCCCTGAGACGTTCCAGAGCATTTCCGCTCGAGTTCAGCTTTAAATTAAATAAATAAATACATACATACATAAATAAATAAAGGCAGGCCCCACCTCATTCCCCCCACGCTCCCCCCCCAATCCTGAGCCCAGTTGCACACCCTCCGAATGCTGCTTTACAGAGATAAGCTACTGGCATTTTCCCTCCCAGCCTCCAATCAGGCATTATCATAAGAAAGTGCAAAGCATCTATCAGCCACACAGCCCAGTGATTTATGTTCAAAGTTAGGATTATCTATTCTGCTCCAAATCCCTTCAAACAGCAAACCGGATAAAAGAGAATCACATTCAGCTGATAAAACTGGAATATAGGTTCATGCAACAGAATGACAGGCAGGTTTTTATCTCTGAACTGCTCCAACCACCTCATTTTGTCAGGAATTGTTCTTTATCCACAGCATGGGACTCTCAGAGTGACCTTAATGA